ATATATATATATGTATATATAAATATGTTTTATATGTATGTGTGATATATACATGCTTTTCTAAAAATCATATATATATATATGTGACATATGCATGATTTTTAGAAAAAAAATACATATACCACATATGCATATAAAACATATATATATATATATATGTATTATATATATGTGTGTATATATATAAATATGTTTATATATGTGTATATATGTATATCATTTCATTATATATGTATGTGTATAATTTTTAAAATTTTATTTTTATTTTTATTATTTTATTTTTATGTTATATTAATTAATATTATTAAATATTAGGGATTGATGATGTGGCAGATGACTAGGATGCCATGTCAGCATTAAATAATATATTTTTTCGTTCAGGGTTTTATTTGCCAATTTTTAAAAGTATAGCGTTTTAATTGCCAATTTTTAGTTTAAATTGCGACGAGAGAAAAGTACAGGGTTTTAAATGGAATTATCCCAATTTTTTATATTGAACTTTACATTTATTTGATTTTATCCGTTTGTGGACCCGCAAAGACACGCAATACGCTCGATGTCCTGACTCCTGAGTCATCCGTTTATCCGTGTGTTGTTTTTTTCAAGTGAACTTATAGAATTATTCAAACTAATATGGTCTTAACAAAATCCCCATTTAATCGGGGGATTAGGTCATCGTCTCCTTCGTACCATTTCTCGGAGTGATCGCTGGAGATTACAGTTTCCGCCGGAGAAAATGAGGATCGAAGAGAACGACGGTTTCTCCGCCTCAAGCAAGCACCTCGTATTCGCTTACTACGTCACCGGTCATGGCTTCGGCCATGCCACTCGCGTCGTCGAGGTTCCTCTCTCTCTCTCTCTCTCGCGTACTGTCACTTTTCATATTTTCTGCTTTCCATTTCGCCTTCAATCGTTTGTTTGGGCATTGTTGATCCGAACTGGTTCGTGGTACTTTTCTTGTGGGGTCCAAGGTCGTCCGTCACCTGATCGCGGTGGGGCATGATGTTCATGTCGTAACCGGCGCGCCTGATTTCGTCTTCACTTCAGAAATTCAGTCACCAAGACTCTTTATTCGCAAGGTTTCTTGTGTTCTGTTATGCGATGATTACTTGTTTCCTTCTAATTTTGTCCGTATATCGGAGAGAATTGAGGAATAGTGGGGTTGTTCTGCTGTTGTTGATCACGGCATTAGGTTCTTTTGGACTGTGGGGCTGTTCAGGCGGATGCATTGACGGTTGATCGTCTTGCCTCTTTAGAGAAGGTTTACTCATATGATCACCCTCTTGGGCTCTTTGTGTCCTTTGGGAGTTTTAGCCTGTCTTCAGTTCTAATTAACCTTTGCTACTTCTGTGGTGTGTTGATGTGTTAGTATGTGGAGACAGCTGTGGTTCCTCGAGCTTCGATATTGGAAACAGAAGTGGACTGGCTACAGTCCATCAAAGCCGACTTAGTGGTAGTCTTTTAATTCATCTTGCTCTTTATCTTCTGTTCCTTTATCTCATACTTACTGGTTGAATGCGAAATATAAGACTTGTTTGCTATGCCACCATCTTCCTAGCATTAATAAATCTTTTTCTAATCGCTAAAAAAACAGGTGTCTGATGTTGTTCCTGTAGCATGCCGTGCAGCTGCGGATGCTGGGATACGTTCTGTTTGTGTCACCAATTTCAGGTGACATTTCCAATGTCTTTCTCATCCATCAGTATCTTGTTTGGCCTGAAATCTTCCTCTTGTTAATGTTCATTAAATGCCTTTAGTGTAACTAGAGTGATCATCCCCATGATTTTAGAGGATATGTGATTATCAGGGCATTATGTTTTGATTTACTTGGAAACAAAAGGAATCATTTGTGTTTCTTTATACTATTTCAGCTGGGACTTTATCTATGCCGAGTATGTGATGGCGGCTGGATATCATCATCGTTCCATAGTTTGGCAGGTAGTTTCTTCCATAGAGTTTGCTGCTGTTATTTGAATAGCATCTCAAATCCCGTTACTGATCTGTGATTGACTCTTCATGTGATTTACGCGGAAGTTCATTAGTTTATTTCTTTTTCTTTTCTTCTCTTATATAGATAGCTGAGGATTATTCTCACTGCGAGTTCCTAATTCGCCTCCCAGGGTACTGCCCAAGTATGCAGTTCTTTGAACTTTCTAATTTCATCTTTTCTGTATTCTCTGCAGTATACTTGCTGCATTTTTTCTTACCTTTCTTTCTTTTATCTCATAGTGCCTGCTTTTCGCGATGTAATTGATGTACCATTAGTAGTAAGGAGACTACATAAATCTCGCAAGGAGGTTTGACTGTGAAACTTCACTAATCTCTTTTCTTTCATTACTCAATTTCTCATAATAATATCTCTTGTTCCCTCTCATCGCAGGTGAGGAAGGAACTTGGAATTTCTGAAAATGTGAAGGTTGTGATACTCAATTTTGGTGGACAGGTCTGGATGTTTGTTCCTTGGTTCACATTTGCACATATTGATTTGCTTCATTTCTCCTATTTGTATCATATCTGATTAACGTCGTTTCTCATTGATTAGATTATACCCTTTCCTCCTTTGCCTTTACTTTATCAATGCTTCTCAATTACGTGTATCTCCTTAAGCTGGACCACTGCTTTATCTCTTTCTAATCACTGCTATATTGCCTTTTCCCTCCTGCAGCCTTCAGGCTGGAAGTTGAAGGAAGAATATCTACCTCCTGACTGGCTGTGTCTGGTATCTTTTAGGCTTTTAGCAATTTTTTCTTCCAGTTTGATGTGTATATTTTCTCTTCTAGTGTCAATTTTATGTTTTAGACCAATCTGTTCGCTAGGTTTGTGGTGCTTCTGAGACCCAAGAGCTTCCACCAAATTTTATGAAGCTTGCTAAGGATGCGTATACACCTGATCTTATAGCTGCATCCGACTGTATGCTGGGTCAGTGTAATACAATTAGCAAATAGTGAATAGATAGTTAGTGAAGATATTAAATTGACGTTTCCTTGATTTTAGGGAAAATTGGTTATGGCACTGTCAGCGAAGCCTTGTCATACAGATTGCCATTTGTCTTTGTGCGGAGAGATTATTTTAATGAAGAACCTTTCCTGAGAAATATGCTTGAGGTGCAATCTGTTTCTCTTTCCATTTTGACTCCGTTTCCTTAATTTCCTAGTCTTTCAGGGTATTTTCCCCTCCAACTTTGGATTGTATAGTCAAGTTTTCTCTTCAAATCTTTGGGCAGTTTTATCAATGTGGTGTTGAGATGATCAGGAGAGACCTATTAATGGGCCACTGGAGACCATATCTTGAGCGTGCAATTAGCTTGAAACCGTGCTACGAGGGTGGCACCAATGGTGGTGAGGTATCTTATTGTCCTTTCTTTCTTTTATTGTCTGGTTTAGTTGTAAGATTCTGGGAATAGAAGTCCTTGCCTAAAATTTATGATTGCTGTTATACTGTGAGCTTACTTACCGTTTCCGTCCACTGGTGCAAAAATAGGTGGCAGCTCACATTTTACAGGAGACAGCCATTGGGAGGCATCGCACATCAGATAAGGTAAATTTGACATCCAAATGTTAGACGGTTTAACTTGTAATTGTGACATATTATGAGGTTTCCTCTCGAATATTGTGAAGTCAGAAAAAATCAATGAAGGTAAAACGTTGAAGATTTTAATTTGCGTACTTATAAATCTTCTTAGAAGGAAAGTTATGTTGAAATTAGTTATATTATATTGGCAAAAAATGTCCCATTTGAATTCCTCTCAAACCCTTACTCCCTCTTGTACTTGCACTCCAAGGATGTCCTCATCACCACTCCCCTCCAAGTTTCAATGTTGGTCTTTTGGTGGGTTACAGCTTAGTGGAGCAAGAAGACTACGTGATGCCATTGTACTGGGGTATCAGCTACAGAGAGTCCCTGGGAGGGACATCGCTATTCCTGAGTGGTATGCAAGGGCTGAAAATGAACTAGGCCAGTCTGCTGGATCACCAACTGCTCAAGCAAGCGAGAACAGCTCAATAATGGAACCGTAAGCTCTATATTTCTGCAAATTTATTTTCTCTGATCGGTGGGAGAGAATAAATGATGCTTCTATGCTATCTATTTTTGCAATTTTTCCTGCAGGTGCATCGAGGATTTTGATATCCTGCATGGTGACCTTCAAGGCCTTCCTGATACACGGAGTTTTCTGAAGAGTTTATCGAAGCTAGATGCTATTCAGGACTCCACAAAGAGTACGGAAAAGCGCACTATGCGTGAGCGAAAGGCTGCAGCTGGACTCTTCAACTGGGAGGTGACAGTTTTCCTCTCATCTTTTCCTAGCTCAAATAAACATGTGACAAGTAGCAACGTTGCAAAAGTTGCTTGTGAATGTGGGCATTGCCTAGCTCAAGTATCAGTCTTGTGCTTTTCCGCAATCTAGTGGTTTGGTTGTTAATGTTTTTGGATGCTGCAAGTTAGATTTTAGCATCATTTTTCACTGTACTGTTAGATTAGCCTATTGTGGCTGTTTATTTCTTGACATTAATCGAAAACATCTCTGCTTTTACAGGAAGAAATCTTTGTTGCCAGGGCACCAGGAAGGTTAGATGTGATGGGTGGGATTGCTGACTATTCAGGAAGCCTTGTCTTGCAGGTAAAAAATTTCGAGTTCTGGTTTTACTTTTTTCACTTGTTTTATATCCAAGTCGTGGAACATTTATTTAGGTGGCCCAATAAAAATGAACTCCTTTAGTCAAAAAGTCATTCCATCATATGGTTTATGTTATAATCTTAAGCCAGCTCTTGAAAAGGGTGGGATCATTTCAATTCCTCCAAACCTACCTGAATACCTGTATTTTGTTTGGTGGCTCTTGATTGCTTGCTTACGATCCGACACTTTCAGATGCCAATAAGAGAAGCTTGCCATGTAGCTGTTCAGAGAAACCATCCTAGCAAACATAGACTGTGGAAACACGCGCTGGCACGACAACAGTCAAAAGGACAGGGCTCAACACCTGTTTTGCAAATAGTAAGTAACAGTAATTGGATGAGTTCTTAAGGACACTAAAAAATTCTTCATCTATCAATGAGGATTGTCGTAGCTGAAGCTGCTCTGATGGGCATTGTGTGATTTAGGTATCATATGGATCAGAGCTAAGCAATCGTGCACCCACTTTTGACATGGACTTGTCTGATTTCATGGATGGGGATAAACAACTTTCATACGAAAATGCGCGGAAATACTTTGCACAGGATCCAGCCCAGAAGTGACTCTTTCCGGTAGCTTTCTCTCTAGATTAATCATGAAGATGAAGTTTAGATCTATGCAGATCGGCGAGAGGTTTTACCGATGAAGAAGAAGAAGAAGAAGAAGACATGCATGGAGATCTGACGAGGAAATAAAATGGAGAATATCTTCGTTTGAAGTATAAAATTATATGTACTTTTCTTTCGACATTTTTGTATCTTATTATATTTTTACAATATTGTGATTTTGATTACAACCACGTAGAAATGATGCGTTCGTCGAATTGTTGCAATTAAGTCAATTTTGAAGAAATTTTATCGGGGACAAGTTTGTTATTCGCTAACAAGGTGATTTGCATTTTCCAGGTGGGCAGCTTATATTGCTGGTACCATTTTGGTGTTGATGACAGAACTGGGTGTGCGTTTTGAGGATAGCATCAGCATGCTGGTACGAGTTCCTTTCTTTTTTCTAAAAAAAATTAGAATTTATCTTGTGCAGAATGCATACTGATTACTTTTTTTTTTTTGTTTCTGTGCTACTATGCATGTAACATTACCTGATGATTTTACTGGTATGTTCATTGATATATTAAATGAACATTTTTCAGATTATGTAGACTCAGACATGAAAATGTCGAGATCACATGTGATGCTTTAGTAGGAAACGGGGTTAATATTAAATAGCAATAAAGAATTGTTGAAAATGAGTTTGATGACTTTAGATTATAATTTATAAGTTTCTTTCTTACTGATTCTGAAACTTGGCTGCATCATTAAGCCCTGATGCTATGCGTGTAAGAAGAAAGTCAGAGCTGTTTTCCTGGTTTTATTGATTATATGTGCAATGTTAGGTTTCTTCTGCAGTACCAGACGGCAAAGGTGTATCCTCCTCTGCTGCTGTGGAGGTCGCAAGCATGTCTGCCATAGCTGCTGCCCATGGTAATACAATCTGGATCCAGAATCTCAGGAATATATTAATACATGAATATAGTCTACGTCTCTGTAAATGAGAACTGAATAATCATTGTTACATATAAGAACCAATAGTCATCTGAGATGGATGAATAATTTTGGGGACCTTTAATTTGTTTATTCACTCAATTCCGTATTATGCATGCACAGGACTGACTATCAGCCCCAGAGAGCTTGCTCTGCTCTGCCAAAAGGTTTCAAGTTCTGCAACAAATGGGCTCCTTTTGCTACTCTGCTATGTGCTCGTTCGTTGATCTTCTTCAGTTTTCTAGGTGGAGAATCACATCGTTGGGGCTCCATGTGGTGTTATGGATCAGATGACTTCTGCATGTGGAGAGGCCAACAAATTGTTGGCCATGATCTGCCAGGTAGTTCTTACAGCAATAAGCCAATAATCAGTTTGTGCATATTCCAACCTAGCAAATTATTCATATGAAATAATGGGTCACAATTGGTGATAAAACATTTTAGATCTCATTCTCTTTTGCAGAGATTTATAGTTGTCGTCTTCCTTTTTTTACTTGTTTTTTGTTTATGTAGCCTGCGGAAGTAATTGGGCTTGTAGAAATTCCCAACCATATCAGATTTTGGGGTATTGATTCTGGTATTCGGCACAGGTAAGTCTTCTTTCTCTATCCAGTAGAAGTTTCACTGACCAATTCTGTAGTAGATTTATTATATGCGTTTACTTTTCCTCGTCCCCCATAATCAAACCATTATTTTCTGACATTATTGACCTTTTTCCTGGCAGTGTTGGAGGGGCGGATTATGGCCCGGTTAGAGTTGGTGCCTTTATGGGCCGGAAGATGATAAAATCCATAGCATCCACTAGGTATTCTCAATCAGCCTCAAGTGCTAATGGAGTCAACCCAGATGAATTAGAGGATGAAGGCCTTGAGCTACTCGGGGATGAGGCTTCATTAGATTACTTGTGCAATTTGTCGCCCCACAGGTGAGAACATAAGTGGCCAATCCTTACATGACATATGCGGTCTGTTTGAAATGATTCGATGCTTTCCAGATGTTGACCTTGCCAAAGAATTTCAAATGCAAAGATTCTCGCATTTTATCCCAGAGGTGTTGGATAGTAATTGCTTCGCTCTGGTGCAGATATGAAGCCAGTTACGCGGATATGCTTCCTGATTCCATGCTGGGCAAGTCATTCATCGAGAAATACTCTGATCACGACGATCCTGTCACTCTGATAGATCAAAAATGTTCCTACAGCATCAGGGCACCTGCCAGACATCCTATATATGAAAATTTCCGGGTTAAGGTCTGTCTTTGTTCTTCAGACAGTCTAAATATATGGAACACATCATTGGTTGCATATTTGTGAAGATAACTTCTCTATCAGGCAGTTAGATATTTAAATCATCTTCTAAAGTGAATGCTTGTGTAATGTTTCTTCTGTAGACCTTCAAAGCGCTTCTGACATCTGCAACCTCAGAAGAGCAACTAACAGCTCTTGGGGAACTTCTTTATCAGGTTTTTCCCTCTCAGCTAAAAGCAGTGCAGTCTTTTTATCCACTGCTGAAGCTTCTCTAGTTATGTAGAGTTAATATATTGCTTTGGCGTTCCTCTAGATTTTCAAAATCCGAAGCCTAGTCCTAAGTCCATATAAAGATGCGTTCTTGAGATTTTAGAAAATTAGGTGACAACACTTATGATTTGGGTTATAACTAGGAATTGGGTCAGATGGAGGTGATCTTGATGAAGTTTCTGTGGGATGTGTTGCAGTGCCATTATAGCTACAGCGCATGTGGACTTGGGTCAGATGGCACCAATCGGCTTGTCCAATTGGTACAAGGAATGCAGCATAGCAAGTCCAAGTCTGAAGATGGAACCCTCTACGGAGCCAAAATCACTGGCGGTGGTTCTGGTGGAACTGTCTGTGTCATCGGCCGGAACTCATTGCGCAGCAGCCAACAAATCTTCGAGGTAATTACACTTTTGCAATCCCCAGTAGCCCACCCAAATTTTAAACGGCCTTGTTGGGGAAAACAAATGTCTGATAAAACGATGAACACCCTAAGGCAAGTAATCTTGTCTCATAAACAAACATAGTCCAACGCGATGATTAATCTGAAACTTTTAGAGATGGGCATAGAAGCTGTAAAAATAATTAAACAAATAGGTATTGCATTACAAATTCAAAAAATGAACTTGCTGTTGAGTGATAAGTAAGAGGGGGGTTTATGTGTGTGTGTGTGACCGAAAGAAATAGTCACCATATGATGGAGAGCTCAGAAGAAGTCATGAGCACATAGTTTTCGTTTATACTCATGTGACTGGGACCAAAAATGGGTGAATGGTTCAGATTCAGCGGAGATACAAAGCGGCGACTGGATATTTGGCTCTCATTTTCGAGGGGTCCTCTCCTGGTGCCGGCAAGTTTGGTCACTTGCGTATCCGACGTCGTTTCTCTTCCTCTCATTGCTGACTCTCTCCTCTTTATCATCAGGTTCACATTTCCTCTTTCATCCCTTCCCTCTATTCTATATCTATATATATATATATATATATATATATGTATGATGCCCACATAATCTGTCTTATGGTCTTTCTGAAAATTCCTTGTGATATTAATAATTTGGATAAATAATTACTCAACCTGAGACAATCCTGAATTTGGATGAATAATTAAATTTAAAAAAAAGTGCATCCACTTTGTGATGAAGCAAGTATCTATTCTTCACATATAATCTAGCGAACCAACCAATCATTCATGTTGTTTGGTTGAAGATGGTTGTCTCGTCCTTCCTATACTCTCTTTATAATTTTTAGATGCTTCTGTAGTTAAAAATGGGGACAATTGGGGGAAAGGTTCGAGGCAGCATCGTCATCGTTCACACTTCTCTAAGACCCGTTTATGGTTCTCATCACTTCACGTGGCATTTAAATGCCTCGACGTACCATCCTCTTCTCCATTTTTTTTACTTTTCCTTTTCCGTGAATTTTCTCCACGTCTTTACCATTTGTTTTTTATTAAAATAAACACTGCTTATGAATAAGAATGTAATCTGCATTTCAAAATTCGTGTCATAATCTCTATAAATAACTCACTATAATTATCATAATCTCTGTTGTAAAATATTAAACACTGAGATTATCGATCTATCCGACGTCGGTAATCAGCAGTGTGAGCCGACCGACACCCACGTGTTCCCTTCCTCTTTGTATTCGTTACCTAATCAGATCCCATGATCCAAATTCGACCGTCTCTGTCCCTCCACGTGCCAAACCATTGTTCAACCCATTCTCTATATTATTGTTTGTACAATAATAATACAAATCTTGGTAGAAACTTCAACCGATAATGTAATAAAATTAGAAAATATTACATATATTTCTCTCAAGTACATAGTATTGCAAGGTTATATGCCACACGCACGCCATACCAAATAATTTATACATTATTTCCAAGCATTAGATGTAATTCCAATATGTAGAAAAATTATATATAAAAATGGTGCCCATTTATAGATATGCTGAATCCTCATTAGTTGTTAATCAGCATGTTGTGTCCTGTTTCCAGCGTTTTACCTTATTCTATTTCCTCTTTTAATATAAGCCGCTCTTTGTAAATTGTTACCATATACTCTTCACTATCACTTATTTCCCTCATTTTCTCTCTCCAACGCTTGTGTGCTCTTTTCTTCATCTTCACCTTTATCTCCATCTCCATCTTCCATCTTTCATCTTCCATCTTCCATCTTCTCTAACAGCATTGCCTCCAAAAGCAGGATTTGTCTGAAAATGAAAACATTAAGAAACTACAATCCTCTTCTTCTTATTCTTCTACTGCTTGCTTGTCTCGTTGTCTCTTCACTTTCAGAATCTCAGCCCACCGCATGTACTATGTGCACTTCCTGCGACAATCCCTGTCAACCTGTCCCTTCTCCTCCTCCGCCTCGCCCCACCACCTCCCCTTCCCCTCCTCCTCCTTCCTCCACCTCCGGCGGCGGTCCTTACTACTACTACTATCCTCCTCCGCCGACGTCGCAGTCCGGCTACTACCGCCCACCTCCTTCTTCCGGCGGCGGTTACTACTACGCGCCGCCGAAGAGCGGAGGGAACTACCAATTTCCTCCGCCGCCTAACCCTATCGTTCCGTACTTCCCATTCTACTACTACAGTCCTCCGCCAGCGTCTCTGTCGGGATCCGACAAGAACATGGGATTCTCCTTCGTTTTATTTTCCTCTCTCTTGTTTTTCTGTTTGTTTTGATAGAAAATGAATCCGACTGAGAAAGTGATAGAAAGTGACGGTAGCTTTCTCTCTAGATTAATCATGAAGATGAAGTTTAGATCTATGCAGATCGGCGAGAGGTTTTACCGATGAAGAAGAAGAAGAAGAAGAAGACATGCATGGAGATCTGACGAGGAAATAAAATGGAGAATATCTTCGTTTGAAGTATAAAATTATATGTACTTTTCTTTCGACATTTTTGTATCTTATTATATTTTTACAATATTGTGATTTTGATTACAACCACGTAGAAATGATGCGTTCGTCGTCTGATTGTGATTTTATCATATAAACATTATTCTTATAAAATAATATTTTCAAGTAAAATTAATTACGTAATGGTTTGCTTAAGGATGTGGATGTACGGAGTGACTATTTCGGATTTCGGTTCGGTTATTTCGGTTATAAAAAATAATAGTCGAACGGTTATATGTATTAAATCGGTTTAGTTCGGTTTCGGTTCGGTTCGGTTTTAACATAAAAAATTATAACCGAACGGTTAAATTTAGATCAGTTCGGTTCGGTTATATTCGATTATAAATAAACACTAATATATACGAAATAAATTATTAAAAAAATCTTTAAAAACTTCGAATTACATCATAATATTAATATTAATCTTTTAAAATTATCGATCTAAACCAAAATATACAATATTAATCTTCCAAAATGCTCAGTCCAAATTTTAAATCACAAAATTTTCAAAAGTTTTCAAAAATTTCAACCTCACCATTTTTTATTTTCATTTATTCCAAAAAAATATAATAAATTAATATATAATATATATAAAAATAAGATTTTAATCAAATAAAAAATTAACTTTTAATTATTTATAAATTAAAAATTGTGATATCAAATGATGTATGAAAATTAAAAGTGAAATTGTAAAAACATTACATAAATATTTAGAATAAAACACTAAAAACTAAATAAACACTAATAATAGTTCGGTTAACTTAACCGTGATTATTCAGTTGTTAACCGAATCTAACAGAATCTAAACGGTTATTAAATTTACTCAACCGATCGGTTATTAAATAAATAACGGAACCGCACTAAACTGGTGTTATTCGATTCGCGTAGTTATAAAAATGAAAACTAAAAGGGTGTGAATAAAAAGAGGGAAGTGATCATAACTCATAAGAGAGCCTCACGCGCCTTGGGAATCCTAAATGCCGTTTTCACGAAAAAACGGAAAAATCGCTGGATAACATGCCGATTTAGGCGACACGTGCTTACGCGCCATAGCTGCGCGTGGGATTTTTGTTCACCGTGCTTTCACCATTTTTTTAATTCCCTCTTTATTAAATTAATTTCAGTTTCCACACGAAAACTTTGTTTTAGTATTTATTTTTACAGACCCACAGTAAAAAAAAAAACAAAAATAATTGTAACTTGACATTTTAGTCTTTTTTTTTTGGTAACTGAAAAGTATTGTCGTGTCAATATATTTTAATTTCATTTAATAAGGAAAAGGTGTATGTTCTATGGAAACTGGTAAAGGTGATTTAGTGTTAAAATAAGAACATCAAGAAGTACATTTTCGTGGGGGAAAATACAAACAAATTTTTTGCCCGAATTTTAATGAATAGAAGGTTTTAATGCTCAATAAATCTAACTTCAAAATCTCAAAAGTTTCCCATTAATAATCAATGATTAACAATTTAATCTAATTAAATTGCTAATGAGGAAGACTCTTTTTTATGAATTCTTATGCGAACAAAAACAATAAAAATGAAAATAGCAATATTGAAATGGCACGTCTCCCCATAATTGCAAGTGGTTGGACAAGTGGGCAAAGCGACGTCACGATGGAAAGCTTATCACATATGTCCGTATTACATTTAATTAAAAAGGATCGACTTTTCCCTGTCTGGATATTAGTTTTAAAATTTCCTAATTCAAATTAATTCATAGAATTTATGTCCATTCTGCATTTTTCATATGAATCACGCAATGCTTTTTTTTTCTTATCTATCGACATTGATATATAAAAAAAAATATTCACAATTTAAACCAACTTACAAAAATAAGAGTTTTTTTTTTACTTGCATTGAAAATCCAACACATCGTCATGTATCATAATCCTTTGTATGAGTGGACATCAAGTGACAAGATATCTCTCCACTTTAGCTTTACAAAAAGATATATTTCTTTTAGTCTCTCTCTATATAAATATATATATATATATATATTCAAATAAATTAGGAAGTGAAAATTCTTCGGATTCTCTGAGGTGATTAGTAATAGGAATCAGGAAGGTGGGGTTAAGTGCAACGATATAAGCTTAAGCAAACATTTTTTAGTGTTAGATTTTATTGACTTTTAATTGAAACAAACAATAGTTATTCAAGGTGCGAGAGCTTAGTCTAGTTTTTTATTTATTTATTCATAATATATTTCAGGTATATAAATGTATTTTATTAAGAACAATAATAATAATAATATATAATTATGCTTCTAAATTATGTTCTTTTATTAATTATTTAGCAACCGTGTAAATGACAAAAATAATAAATGTAAAAAAGGAAAAGGAGGAAGTGGTGCGTGCCGCGAAAACCAAAACTCACGCGCCTTAGGCTCCCCCAGTTTTCTTTTTTGCGAAAAAAGCCCAAAATCGTTGGACTAGGTTGGCGATTTGACGCTCACGCGCTCCATGCGCTATAGATGCGGATGGGTCTACGTTAACTTTCTCACTCGTTTTTATTATTAAAGACTTTGAATGGTGATTACTTTTTATTTTGAGTTTTTGGTTTTAGTTTTTGGATTTTGCTTTTTAGTTTTTGATTTTTAGTTTTTAGATTTTATAATATTTGAAAATTTTAAAAAAAAAAAGCTTTTTGTTTTTCATTGATTTTTTCACTAAAATAGCTTTCCAAGTTTTTAGGAAAAGTAATTTTGTAAAAATTTGAATGATGGTTTTTTTTTGTTTTTGGATTTTAAAAACTCCAAAAATTCTCACGGTATTAAAAGTAACTGTACCTTTCTATTTATTGCACTTTTACCCCTTCATTATGATTTCATTCTTCCTGATCCCTTAATTAATATTAGTTTTGTATGTTAAGAAATAGAATCTTAAGATTTCCGAGTCACAAAAGCGTTAAAATTCAATATTTCTACTATATCTATCAATTTTAAAATAAACTGAAAATGATTAGAACAATTTATATTTATGAAAACGTTAAAAAACTATTACTTTTTATCTGTGTTCCATAGTACTAAAATTTTTAAATCCTTACTTCAATCCCTAAACAATTTAAAACAGAAAAAAAAGGTTAGACGATCAACAATTAAACTTAAAATGTTGAACAGTAGAATAATGATTTAAAATTTAATATAAAATGGAAAAAATAGAAAACATTAAAGCAATACTAGATGGGGCATAAAAAAATTAACTCACTACACATACAATACATGGATATATATGAATCTCTTAATCTCACTACTTAAACTACTCGATGAATGGGACAAAAAGGGGAGCTCATGCGTAAACAGAGCCATAAGAAAGGGCCATTAGCAGAACAGCGGCTCTCTCCTCCTCGCCGAGTTTCCTCCACAGCCTCTTCTTCTCCACCGTCGATCTCTTCATCACTGGAACCTTAAACCCTAAATCCAAGAATCTGCCAACTCCTTTGCTATTATCATCAGTTTTGTTATTGCAAATGTTCTTGATGTTCTGTTGGTCAAGTCCTAGGTTATTACTGTTGTTGGTTCTTCTGTTTTTCTTCTTCTCCTCTGGTCTTATTCCGAGTGCTGCTTGCCTCTTTTTCCTGCTTTTGATCCCACATGCATTGCACAATGACTGCCCAAAGAACAAAAAAAAGTTGGGGATGAGACCAGAGAATGTATGATACTTTGTCAAACACCAGACAGCAATATCTGTTTTCTTTGAATTGAACTCGAAAGGCGATTCAGTTCAGAAGCCAATCCACCAGCTAAATCCATGAATAACTCACTTTAAACTACTCACTCTCAGTACCACAATCCAGAATGAACTTTATTGCATCATTCACAGCGCGTAAGTCCATAACTATGACTCTCTGGTGCTAAGTTACAGATCAAGCATATATCTTATGAAACCAAGCCCAAGGACGGAAACCCAATTCAATAGCGTGAATTGGCACAAGGGGGCATCCATAATAAATGAAGGAATTGGTAAATTAAGTTTCTTGTCATCACTACTGCGACCAAGCTACAGCATTAGACAATAGACATTAGACTGAAAATTATCCAAACTTAACAAGGATCATGGCCACCAACGTACTAAGACAGTGAGACCCATATATTCGAACAAACAAAAGTCAAAACCAACATTCCCCAAACTACCAATAGTAACTGATGGCTGGATCACAAAATTTGATAGACTAAGGTTCACAATTTTTAAAAAACATATACAGCAGTATTCGATTGAAATCAACCGAACTAACTCCAGCGGGCACTCACAACTCAAGATTCCAACAGTTTGAGGGAATCTGAGAGCCACTACGTTTAACTCAACCCCACACTAATTAGTAATAATAACTTCACTACAATATACACATGAAAATGAATATGACCAAACAAGCAAAAAAAAAGAGGAAAAACACAAGCTTCATATACTAAATTTCTAAGCTTTAGGTAAAGCAGAACCACTCAAACCCCAACTACCCCGAAGATCACAGCAATACACGCGACCAAAACAATACCTCTTTCACTGAAACAAAGATCCGAATCCAGTAGTGCTTTGCTAACATTTCAGGAAAGTTAGGAACCGATAATCTAACTAGAAAAGAGTCCAAGACATATCAACCACGACTCAAAGACAATAAAACAAAGAAAAACGAAAGGGAGTGTGGTTCAGGGATTTGAAAGCTCAAAAGGGATGAAACCATACCTTAGGTCCGGCGGGGCCACCTCGCCATAGAGGAGTCTTGCTGGTACCGCAATCAACGCAAGTCTTCTTCGTATCAACCCCGTTGCTGTTGCTGCTGCTGCAGTTCTCGCTGTCTTCCTCGGACAGATCTCCAGCAGAATGGAGATTCCTCTTCGTTTCCTCTGATTCAGACATCTGCGATCGAAAGAACAGCAGGTTGGAGAAATCCAAACAGTTAGGGA